CCACCCCCACCCCCATCCAATCAGTCATCAGGTCTGGTTATTCCATCTCCTAAACCTAGCTCAAACAATGACCCCCTTTCTCTAGCTCTACAGACACTCCCTGACTCACTGAAACAGAGCCTCCCCTGTCCAATCTAGCCTCACACATCCAACCAGAATTATCTTTCTAAAATCCACACATGAACCTATGATTCCCCTCGTCAAATCCCTTTAATAGCTCCCCAGGACAGAGTCCAGACTTCGTAGAATGACAAGCGAAGCTCTGCAAAGTCTGGCCCCCTCCAGCACTTCCACCCTTTTCTGCCCTGTGTATCAGCCTTGCCAAACTGTTGGCAATTTCCTCCACAGGTCAGATGGTTTTACTTCTCTGTGCCTTTGCACATAATGTCCCCTCTGCCTGGAATTTCTTCCCTAGCTGACTAATACCCATTCATCTTTAAATAACTTTCTTCACCAACTCTTAAGAAACCTTTCCTGACTGTCCCCTGTGGGCCACTCTTTTGTGCCCTAATACAGTACCAATAGTGTTTGATGGCATTTCTTTCTTTCTTTTTTTTTTTTTTTTTTTTGCGGCTGGCCAGTATGAAGATCTGAGCCCTTGACCTTGTGCATTTATTTCTTTATATGAGTATATCTTCCTGATTATACCTTACTTGGTCATCTTTAAATCCTCAGCATAGTGCCTGCCAAATAGCAGGCCCTTAAATAAATGTTATTAATGAATGACTCATTTATGTGGAAAGAGAAGGCTGAAGGATAGAATCCATCCCACCTCAGTCCTTCAATTGGTAACTTGTACTGATTCTTGAAGACTTAGAAGTCAGCTCCTCCAGGAAGTGTCTTTTGATGGTCCTCGGTTGGGTTAGATGATGCTTTTGTAGGCTCCCATTTCTGAACATGTCTTTGAACTTTTAATCTGCCTATATGTATGAGCAGAATGGAATGTAACATCTCTGCAAGTAGCCAGATCCCACAAAAAGTTGGGGGACAAGAAAGAGGTGGTGCTTCTGAGCCAGTCATGCTCAGTGTCTTTTCCCCAATTTACAAGATAAATCACTCCTGCTCCCCTGGAGACATATGAATGAGGTCACAGAAGAGGCCTGAAATGTTCAGATAAAGTCCTTCCACATGGAAATATGAGGCTAAAGAATCAAAGGTTTTCCCAACACACCTTAATCCGTACTTTTCCCAGATAGACCACCATCCCCAGTAAATTATTAATAAGCTCCACTTGTTCTCTTCATTCATTCATTCAACTAATTTCTTGAGCACCGACTATGGGCCAGATAGTATTCTATACTCTGGAGATACAGGAATGAACAAACAGACAAGCTTTCTGCTTTGGTAGAGCTTACATTCCAGTGAAATGAGACAGGCAGAAACGAATATATATATAACAATATGATATATGAAGGTACTCCAAAAACTTAATGGAAAGATTCATATTATCTTTTAATTCCACTTTCCATGAAATTTTTGAAGACTGCTCATTCAACAAAGTCAGGTGCTATAAAGAAAAACAGGCTGGCCGGTTAGCCCAGTTGGCTAGAATGTGGTGCTGATAACACCAAGGTCTGGGGTTCGATTCCTGTACTGGACAGCCCTCCCCCAAAAAGAAAGAAAGAAAGAAAAGAAAAACAAAGCAGAGCAGGAGATAGACAGTGAAGGGGTAGGGAAGTGGTACCATTTTAGGTAGGGTAGTCAGAGAAGGCCTCTTTGTCAGGATGACATTTGAGCAGAGACCTAAATGAAGTGAGGGAATGAATCGAGTGTTCCAGGCAGAGAGAGCAGAAAGAGTAAGGCCCTGAAGAAGGAATATTTGAGCAACTCTGCACCACCCTTTGTGGAACCTGCCCACCACGACTTCCCTCCCCACCTGAGGTTTTCTTGTCATGTGTACTCCTCTACACTAATGTATTGCCTTGACTATGCTCTTATTTCTCCAAGCCTTAGTCCCCGTCTGCACTTCCTCCCCTACTGCCCTGCCTCAGTGCTCTCATCATCCCTTCCAGCTCACTCCCATGACTCAGTCTCCTTCTGTTCCTTCTCCCCAGGAGACTGAGACATGCCCTGTGGCCTTCACTTCCAGACCTGCACCGGGTCCTGGGCCAGTACCTTACGGATACTGCAGCCCTGAGTCCGGTGAGTGCACTTCCCTCCCCTGTCCCACCACCACTGTGGCTTGGGGCTGAGTCCTTGCCCCCACAACACAACTTACTCAAGGTCCTTGCCTACCAGCGTACCATCCACAGGTACTACTCCTGCCCAGTTCTCCTTCCCACACAATCCCCTCCTCCCACAGAATCTATTCTAACCCAGCTCCTTTTTCCTTCTCTCTCCCAGCCTAAGGCCACAGTCTCAGATACCTATGAAGAAGTGGAACCCAGCCTCCTTGAAATCCTACCCAAGTCCTCAGAGAGGACTCCCTTGCCCCTGTGTTCCTCCCAGGCCCAACTGGACTACCGAGGATTGCAGCCTTCTTGCCTGGGGAGTATGCCCCTGTCTGTGTGCCCACACATGGCTGAATCAGCATCCTACTGTACAACCCACATTGCCAACCATTCCTACCTACCATTAAGCTGTTGGCAGCAGCCCCGAGATCAGGCTCCTCACGCCCTGTACCCCGGACAGATCCAAACCCTCTAGACCTCTCTGGGAACCTCCCTACTTTACCCCCCAACACAAACACCTCAGACCTCACCTCCATCCCCCTCTGTACCATCATAGTTGGGCTTCATAGCAGTGATCTTAGCATACTGCTGCTGACATAAATCCAGGAGCCTTTCTCTACAGGCAGGCTCATTTGACTAAGCTCCTCTTTTACCTTCTGTCTCTCTCCTCTTTAATGTCATCTCCTTGAAAGGAAGTCTACTTCTCCACTTCCCATTTACTCTTCAGGCTATGTCAGTTAGTTCCCCTATTATCACTTTCCTAATGAAATTCCCAGGCAAAGTTCACCTCCAATCTTATTAATCATCAATTTATTTGATCTCTCTGTGGCATTTGTCATGATTGAGTATTCATCTCTCCTTTAAATGCTCTCCAACTTTGACTTCCATAACATTATCTTCTCTCGGGGCCCTGCTCCTGCCTCTCTGAAACAGTAAAGAGGGTAACTCTGGAGTCAGAGCTGGGTTCAGTTCCTGTCTTTCACACTTGGGAGCTGTGCAACCTGGAGCAAATAACTTAATGTCTTCAAGCCTTAGTTTTCTCATCTATAAAATAGGGAATAACGGTACCCCACAGAGTTGTGAAGAGGAATAAGTGAAATAATCTAAGTAAAGCACAGTGCCTAAGACAGTGCCACATCTCTTATTCTGGCATTTCTTTTGCTCCTTGATTATTGCAGTCCCTCAAGATTCCGTTCTTATCACAGTCTCCAATCTCATCTATTCTCATTGCCTTTACTATATCTTGACCATTCCAAAGTTCTTATCTCCTGCTCAGACTTCTACTATAGCACCTGTGATGCTTTATGCAAGTAACTGTTTACTTGCCTGTCTCTTGCTACTAGATTGTGAGCTTGAGGGAAAGGGCCATGATTTGTCTTTTTCCCCAGTACATTAGAGTAGTACAGTGTATGATGTAGGCCTTCAATAAATGTTTTCTAAATGGATGAAATCTTTCTGGACAATGTTACCTTAATCCCATGCTAACTTCCCTCATCCTCTAAATCATTCATATGCAGCAGTAAATGTGCTAAATGCATTCGTTTGTCTGTTTTTTGGCAGCTGGCCAGTACAGGGATCGAACTCTGGACCTTGGTGTTATCTGAACCATGTCCTAACCAATAAAGCTAACCAGCCGGCCCTCTAAAAAAAATTTTTTTTCTGGCTCCAAACATACATATTGTATCAGTCAGAGTCTTGGCAGGAATAGATGGCACGCTCAAACTGGGTAATTTCATGACAGTTTAATAAATGACGTATTTACAAAAATGAGGACAAGATTTGGGAAAACCATCAAGGAACAGTACAGTCCCCTGGGGCTAACAACAACAGGCACCACCCTGAGGCCTTAGGGGGTAAGGGGAGAGTAGCTATAAAAGAGGGCTGCCTGGCAGGAGTTGTGGGTATTGGTAGAGGGATATAGCCAACATGTGGGGACACGGAAGGGAGGGAGCCAGGAAAAGAAATAACTCAAGCTCATATTCCTCCCACTCTAGTCTTGGGTCCCTAGGAGTAGAGTCAGAGCCTTTTACATGGCTGGGAAAAGGAGTTATGGAAAGTGGGTATACTGGATGTCATCTGTTACCCATCCAGACCCACTCTCCATCTGTCTCCACCTTGCCCTGTCCTCTGCAAGGCTGAGTCATATGGCCTGCATCAATGGATTCCCTTGGGCTCTGGTTTCTATTTGGGTTCTACCAATGGGAGGATATTATGGATTGAATTGTGTCCCCCCTTACCCTCAAAATTCAGAAGTTGAAGTCTCAACCCCCAGTACCTCAAATGTGACCTTATTTAGAAATAGGATCATTGCAGATGTAATTAGTTAAGATGAGGTCATAGACCATATATTAGTTTTCTGTTGCTTATAACAAAATACCCGAAACTGGGTAATTTATTTTATTTTATTATTTTATTTTATTTTTAGGTGAGATCATTATATATGGTTATAGAGTGCCTTTTATTATTATTTATTTTTTATTCTTTTTTTTTTTTTTTTTTTTTTTGGTGGCTGGGTAGTACGGGGATCCAAACCCTTGACCTTGGTATTATAACACTGTGCTCTAACCAACTGAGCTAACCAGCCAGCCCAAAACTAGATAGTTTATAAGGAAACAAAATTTATTTTAAGAAAGTTTTGGAGGCTGGGAAGTCCAAGGTCCAGGGACACAACCATATACGGCCTTCTTCTTGGTAGGAACTTTCTGCAGAGTCCCTAGACGATGCAGTTTATCACATGGTGAGAATGGCAAGAGTGTCTTTACATGCTCACTTACTCTCCTTACAAAGCCACCGGTCCATTCCCTAATAACCCGTTAAACCATTAACCCATTAATCCATGAATGAATTCATCCATTCATGAAGGTAGAGTCTTCGTGACCCAATCACCTCTTAAAGGTCATACCTTTCAAACATCATATTGAGAATCAAGCTCCAACATGAGCTTGGGGCCCATTCAGACCATAGCAGGCCATAATCCAATGATTGATGTTCTTACAAAAAGGGAAACTTGGAAACAGATACACATAGGAAGAAAGCCAAGTGAAGAGACCTAAGCCATACTTCTACAAGCCAAGGAACACCAAAGATTGCTGGAAAACCACCAGAAGGTAGGGTAGAGGATGGAAGACATTCTCACAGCCCACAGAAGAAACCAATCCTGATGACACCTTGATCTGGGACTTCTAGCCTCCAGAACTATGAGAACAATACATTTCTATTATTTAGGCCACCCAGGTTGTGGTACTTTGTTATGGCATCTCTAGCAAACTGATAGAGGAGATGAGAGGATGGGCTACCCAAGCAGCCTATGCTTGCTGGCCCCACATTCTATCCCATTCTTTGCAATCCCTTCCAAATGGACCTGGAGCACCCATTTTTCTGAGCCTGCTCTCTCAAATGTCACCAATGATTTGTTTCTCACTGGCCAAATCTGACCTTTTCTGTCATTATTCTACTTGACAATTTTACATCATATTAGAATTCCTCTCACTTTAAGGTCCATGTCTGTTTAATCTCCACTGGCTTCTTTCGTTCTTTTTATTTTTAAATGTACAACTTCCCTGAGATTGTACCCTTATCCTTCCGTACAGTTACCTTTAGTCCAGAAATTGCAAATTGCTGGCCATGTTCCCCATCCCAGATATGTTTTGTTAAACTCACACTGGTTCCAAAATTCCTAGCAGATAAAGTCCAAACTCCTTAGCTCTTCTAACCTAAGACACCCAACTCCTTGTTTTCCAAGGTAATTGCAAATAGAGAACATAGGCTGGCCGGTTACTCAGTTGGTTAGAGTGTGGTACTGATAACACCAAGGTCAAGGGTTTCATCCCCGAACTCACGGGGGGGGGGGGGGGGGGGGGGGGGGGGGGGGGGGGGGGGGGGGGGTAGCGCAAGCGCGACAGACGGACAGACGGATGGATGGACGGAGGGACGGACGGAAGGAAGGAAATAAAGAACATGAATGCTTCAAAGTCAAAAATAATAATACTAAGTTTGAGCCAAGAGCCCCAGATATTTCTCTCTCATCATCAGAGTTGATCTCAGGCTAATGATTGAAAATCTGATTTTTCCAGCCTCTTTCTGAAACAGTATAATATATTGTTAGGATTGGAGGGGTTAGTCAGAGTTTGAATCCTGGCTCCTCTACTTATTATTGGCTATGTGCTTTGGGGCAAATTTCTATCCTCATTCTGACTCAGTTTCTTTTTCTGTAAAATGAAGATAAGAGTATCTGCTTTATGGGATTAATAATTGAACTCAATGTATGCAAACTATTTTAAATGGTACTCATTATTTCTATTATTGCTGCTTCACCTCTGAGCATATTCACACAATTTATTCAAGTCATTATTAGAGCACTGAATTGAACGGGCTTCGGACCAGGATTCTTACCACTTTCTTTGTATGACCTTGGGCAAATCCTTTCCCTGGGCCTCGGTTTCTCCATGTGTAAAATATGGGTATATTGCCGGGATGGGGAGGGTGCATCACGCACAGGTTAGACTAATGGATCTTTAAGATTCCTGACACCTCTAAAGCCCCATGGGAAGTAAGGCACCAAATTCTCCGATAGGGACGTCTAACGTTATCTTCCAGTTAGGCAGGTTGGAACCTTGATCCTTTTTCTCGGCATTAAGGAATTCACTTCTCCTCTTTCAGCCTCATTTTCCCTGTTTGTAAAACAACAAACAAAACAAACACGTGTTACTTCCTTCCTAGCAGGGTTCCTACCCGGCGCCAAGCAAATAGGGATGCACCCTAACTAGCTCTGGCCGTCTTCCTGCCCCTCAGCTTCAACTCCGTCCTCTTGCCCCGCCCGGCCGCCTGCCGGCTCTCCTGTTCCTTCTCTGAACTGCTGCAGTACTTTGGGTCACTACACCGAGTTCTGCGCGTTAAGTAACGCAAATACGACCCACATGCAGGCTTTAAATGTGAACTTCCTCAGGCTCTCCGACCCTCCAGCAACCGGAGCCCGACCCTGAGCTGGCGGCGGGAGAGGGGACACTGAGAAATGAAAGTGTCCAGGAACGCGGAGGCAGCGCAGGCTCCGCCCCCAGACGCGCCCCGCCCCGCCCCTCTTGCTTTCAGACACCGATTCCCTGAGACCGGCTTGAAGCATCTCTCTGCCTTCAAATCACGCGCCACGGCTGCACTCTCGTGAGATCTGTGACTTGCTCCGGAACACCCGCCTCCTCTGCCGTCGAGGCCAATGGGCTAGGGCGTCGGTTGCGACGGTTGGATTTTGAAGCAGCCAATGAGTGCTCGGAGCGGAGAGTTTAAGGGGCGTGGGTCAGGCGTGGTGAAGCCTGTCCGGGATTGGAACCTGCTCGCGAACGCTCGGTGAGAGCCCCTGGACTGAGCCAAGGTGGGGGCCTGGGGGTGCTAGGCCAGGAGGGGTTGCAGCCGAGGGTGACCCTGATTGTGTGGCCGACCAGGAACGAAGGAGCCCCGCGCCGTCCCCTGAGCACGGTCGCCTCTCTTCCTCCAGGGCCTAGCGGGCGCCAACTCCAGGGACCCCTCCAGGCTCTCCCATGGCTCAGTTCGTGTTCGAGAGTGACCTGCACTCGCTGCTTCAGCTGGATGCACCCATCCCCAATGCACCCCCTGCGCGCTGGCAGCGCAAAGCCAAGGAAGCCGTGGGGCCGGCCCCCTCGCCCATGCGGGCCGCCAACCGATCCCACAGTGCCGGCAGGACCCCTGGCAGAACTCCTGGTCAGTGCAGTGCGGCAGGACAAGGGGAGGGAGAGGGAGTAGCTGAAAGCTACCTTAATGCTTCCTCCTTCGGGCGCCTGGTCAGACTGGCTTCTCTCTCCCCGCCCCAGGCAAATCCTGTTCTAAGGTTCAGACTACTCCTAGCAAACCTGGCGGTGACCGCTATATCCCCCATCGCAGTGCTTCCCAGATGGAGGTGGCCAGCTTCCTCCTGAGCAAGGAAAACCAGCCTGACAACAGCCAGACACCCACCAAGAAGGTATGTGTCCCAGAGGGACTCGAGGTACGGCACCTGACTGTGTTCTTTGGATAATACCATCCTGCCTCACCACCACCCTTATATGCCAGGAACATCAGAAAGCCTGGGCTTTGAACCTGAACGGTTTTGATGTGGAGGAAGCCAAGATCCTTCGGCTCAGTGGAAAACCACAAAATGCCCCAGAGGGTAAGACCTGAAGTTCTTGGAGTGAGAAGTATGTCTATCCCCGTTGAACCTGAACGGTTTTGATGTGGAGGAAGCCAAGATCCTTCGGCTCAGTGGAAAACCACAGAATGCCCCAGAGGGTAAGACCTGAAGTTCTTGGAGTGAGAAGTATGTCTATCCCCAGGGCTTATGGGAGGTGTTTATCTGCTCTTCCCACCTAAGACTGAGGGCAAGGGAGGTGTCAGTTGTCCCAGCATTTAGACCCACTCTGTTGCCACAGGTTACCAGAACAGACTGAAAGTACTCTATAGCCAGAAGGCCACGCCTGGCTCC